CTCCCAGCTGCCTGCGGGCTCCATGGACAGGCTTTGTTCTGCCCACAGACCCTGCGGCGGGCGGGGGGCACAGCGGCCAGCCCACCTGTGGGGAGGGGGAGGGATGCTCAACAGAAGTCAGCTGTTTTGCTCTGAAACTTGCCTGTGTCAGGTGTCCCCATTACCTAGCTGCAAAATTGTTAAGTAAACTGGTGAAGAGTAGGCAGAAAAAAACATAAGTCCACAAAATCCAAGTTAAATACTGTAAAAAGAACTGATGAAGTCTCCAAAAACTCTTGCTGGTTAACTGGGTATGAGTGAGTCAGGGTTAGGCAAGAAAAGTCAGAAGTAAAAGGAGAGGATTGTGAACTGTATTCTTTGCAAGTGCTTCTGCCATTGTAAGTAAACAAAAGTGAAAGTCACAGATGCCCAATATGGGTGGATCTTCTTGCTGGAAAGACAGCAAGGAGTGCCAATTAATGTCCTTCACGCTACACCAAAAGACAGATGATAGTTTTATATTTGCTGATTTTCATTTAAATTGAAGCAGTTAAGGTTTGGGCATAACCCCCTCCCCCCCCCCCCCNCCCCCCCCCCCACCTTACCTTTGGTCAACTGTTCTGATTAATGTTTCCAATCAGGTCGTGGCCTGGTCCTCTGAGCAATCCCCAAACACGGGCTGATTTCAAATGGGTTGCCTTTGTTCTTAAGTCTGGGCACACAAAGATCTCGCCAGTCTTTCTAGATGCCAGGGAAAGGCTGGCTTCTCACCAGCTGCTTGGGGCAGGGATAGTGGTCATAGGTCTTACAAGTGTCCTGAGCGTGCCTGCCTCACTGTAAGGACAGCCCCAGGTGGTCGGGAGCAGGCTTATCCAGGCTCATGTACCCTGGGTAGCACAGGAGATTTCAACACCACAACCTTCCACGCTCTGGGGCCTGCGGCATCAGAGAAACAGGAGCCTTCTGGTCATGGAAGGGTGGTGGACGGGTGGGAAAGAGGTCATCAGACGGGGCAGTGAGGGAAGCCTGTGTTCCTAACTGTGACTCTCTCCTTATGATCTCTCCTTGTGATCAGTAAACAAGACAGAATACTCACAAGTGGTTTCACCAGCTAGTTCTGACTTGAGAATCTCAATACTTCCTTGCATTTACTACCATGGCGGATGGCCAGACGGTAAAGAATCTGCCTGCAATGCAGGAGACCCAGGTTTGATCCCTGGGTCAGGAATATCCCCTGGAGAAGGGAATGGCAACCCACTCCAGTAGTCTTACCTGGTGAATTCCACAGACAGCCATGTGGAGGCAAAGAGTGGGACAGGACTGGGTGACTTAACACTACCATAGCTGTTACTGCATTTTACCACTAGAGGGCAAGAGTGTTCCTAAAATAAGGGATTCATCCAGAACCTAATCACTTTGAATTAAGAAATTTCAGAGCTGGAAGAGGTCTTAAAAATCATCTGGCTCACAGGTTTTCAAATTTTTTTCAACTGAAATGCACAAGAACTGCATGCTTCATAATGAACCACTTCCTACATGTATGTTCGCAATATTTTGAGGCACTACTTACCTTTACTCTGCAATGCACGCTAAACAATTTGTATTCCAAACGGTTTCATTACAAACAAACAAAAAACAACTGCAACCACTAAATAGATGTCATAACCCACCAGTGGGCCATTAGCTTGAAAAACCCTGAGTTGGTCCCAGTCTCTCATCTACTAAGGGACACAATAACCCAGAGGATAGAGAAGGATGCTTCGAGCTACACTTCTCTTACCCACCCAGCCACCTGCTAAACCCAGAGTCAGTCCTGGAGGAATGAAAGACATCGTGCAGCAACTCAGCACTTACTCTACTAATGCACTGATTGGATAAAGTAGTTGACAGTCTATCATTTCATCTCTTCTTAATGATACAACTGCTCGTGTAATCGAAGCAGAAATTCCTTGCATTACAGGTCTCTTCTCATTCAAGTAGTTTCAATCAATCAAGTGATTTCAATCAAGCAATTTCATTGAATTTCCATAGAAACTGAAACCACTTTAGTCTCTGGAGAGTCATGGCCCTGAAAGTCACCAAGTTCTCTTCCTTGGCTCCCTGATGTTGAAACATTTATAATCATTTTGGGAGGAAATGTAAAGGTAAACCAGAAGATCACAGGAATGTATCCTTTCTTAGGGTCAATGCTCTGGGTTCTTCTATTTAACTCCCTTTCATGCATATATGCCTCTAATTTATTGATTATCCCCACACCCCTGGGGTTTTTTAGGCCAAAAAGGAGCATCCCTTTGAAATTCAGGATTATATTACGACAGATGAAAAGAGTAACTGAGCTCTATGGATAAGAAAGGAAAATTTTTCTTCACTCACTTGGATTTGAGAGCTAGTTGATTTTGTGAAAGATGACACAAATTTTTTTTTAAAGGGGGTATCCAGCAAGGTCCTACTGTATAGCACAGGGACCTCTGCTCAATGTTATATGGCATCCTGGATGGGAGGAGAGTTTGGGGAAAACAGATAAATGTACACATGTGGCTGAGTCCCTCTGCTGTTCATCTGAAACTATCACAGCTTTATTAAGCAGCGCTCCAATATAAAAAAAGGTTTTAAAAACTAAAATTATATAAATAAGGGGATAGCTAAATGCATGAAAATGCAAATGATTTAATTCTTTAATGGCTAGAAGGAAGAAAAACATTTCTGGGACTGAAAAATTCCTGGTGCACTTTAGAAATCTGAGGTTGGCTTTCTGTAGAGAATCCTTCCCATTGATAAGCAGGGAGCAAATCTCCGAGTGGGGGATGTGCTGTTCGGGCTCTGGGACGGGGCTACTCTCCAGTTTGATAGAAAGTNGGTGGGGGGGGGGGGGGTACTTAAACTGAACCTCCTTGAGACAGCAAGGTCTGCTACAAGTGACAAGCGCAGGTCGCCTTTTTCTAGGTGGGGGCGGGGGGGATGCTTTCACCAGTCAATAAATCTAGATAAACTAGGTACAGGGTTAAGTCTTTGAAGAACCAAGGCGTTCTCTTCCAAATGGCGTTCTCACACCCCGAACACCACATCTAGAACTATCTTAAAACTTCTACTGCCACTCCTTAAAATTCTCTTTATCCTCTTCATTAAACTCTAGATTCTTCGATGCCGAGTCTACAGGCTTTGTGGAATATTGGGGGGGTGGGGTTGCTGGAAAGAGCATCGTTGTTTGGGGACAAACAGGGTAGTTCTGTAACTTTCGTTGTCATCTTCTACTGGAAAAAGCCACGTAGCTCCACGGACACAGAACGGTACCTACAGCCTTGAAATCAGCAACGGAACAACGAGCTGCCAAATTCTCATTCATTCCGTTAACAAACACAACAGCCCTGGGTCATTCACTCTTATTAAAGCAGACGCCAGGATTACGAAGGTTCCTGGCCAGGCCAACGCGTAAACTGCAATATTATCCTAAACCCTTGCAAGACGGCCTGCATTTGACAAGGGAACGTCCACGGTTCGGCGTGGGAACTGGCTTGGATTTTGAAAAACCCTGTCCAGAACTGACGCTCAAGCCACTGGTGGGTCGTGCATTCGGTGACCACGTCAGAGCAACCAACTCTGGAAAGATCAAGCCTGGCCTTTAGGGCCTGCGCCTCAGTTTCCCCATGTACCTGCTTCCCAGGTGTGGGAGCTACCCTGTGAACATTCTTTACGGCCGTGTAAATGCCAGAAGGAACAAGTCAGCTTTCCGCGGACCCTGCGCCCCGACGGGCCCTGCGGCGCGCGGGAACCGTCCCGGGCGGTCTCGGCACCTGGCGCCTCGCGCTCCCGCCTGAGCTGCCGCGCGCGCCGCCTGCGAGAGGAGCCGGCTCGAGGGCTCCGCGTCCTGGAGCCAGCCGGAGTCCTCGGGCCCCCCGGACGCCGCCGCCCCCTGGAGGGCGAGCAGCAAGAGCAGCGGTCCCGCGAGCCGCTGGGCCGCGGGGCGCGTGTCCCCCGGCCGGGGAGCGGAAAGCGGTTGCCTGCGGAGCTGCATGGACGCGGGTTGGCGCGCCGCTCGACCGGTCCGAGCTTCGGGTGGGCGGCGCCGGCGCTTGAGGAAATAAGGCCGGGCGGGCCCCTCCCCTCCGCCCCCAGGGCGGCCCGCGGGAGGGCGTCCAGGTCCCTCTCGGCGTTTCCCGCAATCCCTGGGCCCCTCCGCCCCGCCCCGCTCCGCCCGAGCCCCAGCTGCCCCGGCTCGGTACCCGGACGCGGCGGCGCCTCCGCGGCGCGGGGCGGGGATGTCTGGCCGGGGCCGCGCGGCCAGGGGGACAGGGGGCATCTCTCCAGGGAGCGCGGCCAGGTCGGCGCCACTCCGCGCCCACAACTTAGCTCGGGGACCTGGTTTCTGGCTGCGGTTGCTGTGATTTCGAAGCCCTCAGGGTTTCAGAGCAAACCTGCTTCAGTTATTCAAGGCTTGGAGCTTATTTCCCAGAAGAAGAAATTGGAAACGGGTGGAGAACAGGACGTGACGCTGGCATTGATGGGGGTCCTTACAGCCCAATGCCTTTGACGTGAGCCAGATACCCAGAGAATTGGGGCCAGAGAGGGGGCTGCGCTGGTAAGCTGATAAGAACCTAGAGGCCCCACTGGACTTGGAAACGTTGATAACCGTGGTGGAGTGCAGGTGGGCGTGGAAACCAGAGTCCGGCGAAGTGAGGCATGGATTGGGCTGTAGCCCTGTGGAGGCAGCAAGGGTTGGCGACTCTTTTTAGACACGTGGCAGTGAAGGAACGAAATGGCCCTTGTTCTTAAGCCACAGACAGAAAGCCCAGGAGAACTCGGAATTAGAGGCACTCCCAGCATCCGTTTTCCCACCTGCCTTTAGTTTGTTCAGGGGTCTACCCCTCCCCAACACTCGCTGACCCCATCCCCACCGAGGAGCCAGAGAAAGCCCCTTCTCCTTGCTGGTTACTGGTTGACGCCCCACATAAAAAGAGTCTGGATAAGATATGCGTGGGGGAAGCCTGGGGTGGGGGGCGATAGATGGGGACGCCATCTTTGAAAACATCTGCCCTCCCCCACTTCATCATTTGGATGTTGTCCATCTTGTGCCTGTCTTTTCTCCAAGGTATTCATGGAACACTCACCCTGCTAGGCCCTGCGGGAAGTGAGGAGGGGGGCAATCTGATAAGTCTGCATGCTCCTGGAGCACACCTTCTAGGCAGGGGGACCGAGAGGCAAGGGAATGAACCCTTTGTTGGATGCAGTTACATGCTGTGGAGGAAGAGTAGACCTGAAAGGCAGTTGGTTATCATTTTAAACAGCATAGTCAAAGCAGACCTCGCTGAGAAAGTGATATTTAAGTAAGGACCCGAAGGAGAGATGAGGGAGCCAGGTGGACATGTCCAGAGCACTGCAGGAAGAGGGGACTGCAAGAGCGAGGCCCCGAGGCAGGAGTCCTCCGGCATGTGTGAAGAGCGAGCAGGTGCTCCTGGAGGGAAGGACAAGGAGAAGACAGCGATGCCGAGTCTGAGGGACAGTGGGGAGCCGGGCAGAGCATGTGTATTGTGTCTGAGTGCGCCCCCATCTTGCCAAGTCTCGCGATGAAGCCCACTGAAGAATGGCTGAGCAGAGGAGACAGGAGCCCGGCTTCCTGATGACGTTGAGCACCCAAATTAGCTGATCCTGGAGCTCATTTCTAATGCTCATTGAAGCTGGAGGTTCTGCTTCTTGCCTTCAGAGGCAGCCTAACACAATTATCTTCCTAGAACCCAGGCGTCTTCTTCTCCAAGGGGTTATCATGGTAGGTTCCTTGAGAAGTTATCACTTCTAGGTTTTATAAAGACTTAAATTCTCCTTATTTTATTTCAGTGCTTCACCCCCAGTGGGTGCTGGGCGGCTTTCAACCACAGTAACAGGAAAACTCATCAATGTTGTGGACTCTGCAGTGCCGTGGAGTGGGAGGTCTCCCAGATGGTGTGAAGGATTCAGCCTTTCTCCAGCCTTCTGCCCAGCTCTCCTCAGCTGTTTGGCTTTTTGTCCATAGACTCACCTGTAGCTCCATGATAATAGAAAGGCTGTCACAGCTCCAGACACAGCTCCAGGCTTGATCCCTGCACTGGGAAGATCCCCTGGAGAAGGGAATGGCAACCCACTCTAGTATTCTTGCCTGAGAAGAAATAGTCACACAAGGGAACAGGCATAGCTGCCTGAGTTACAGAGAACTCTTCCAAGGTCAGCTGTTTATAATAGTGGTAGTAACTACACCTGGGCCAGATTGTTGGTCAGGAACACACATTTCAAAAGTTAATTACAGCATTCACTTTATTAACAGATTTTCTGGAGCAGGAGAGGATTCCTTTGATTGAGAACTGTGTGTTTGTCCTTTGTCCATTTATCTGTGAGATTGTTGAATTTCTAATTGCTTTATAGAAGTTCTTTAAATACTAAGGAATGGGGCTTCCCTGGTGGCTCAGATGGTAAAGAATCTGCTTGAAATGCAGGAGACTTGGGTTTGATCCCTGGGTTGGGAAGATCTCCTGGAGAAGGGAATGGCTACCCACTCCAGTACTCTTGTCTAGAAAATTCCATGGACAGAGGAGCCTGGTGGGCTGCAGTCCACAGGTTCACAAAGAGTCAGACACGATTGAGCGGTTTTCACTTGCAGTCCAAGATCTGTCACAAGAATCACTAATATTTTTTCTGCTAAGTTCCTACACTGTATGTGTGTGTGGTGTTCCTTCTTGCCAGATGCTGTGTGCATGGGCAATGTTGTTAACCACACACTGTGTGTGCCAAAGGGCCTGAACTTGTGACACAGGGCTGATCCTGCCCTGGTCTCCCTGGCATTGTGGGAGGGTTCCCTGCAGGCAGGGAGGAAAGTCTCAGCCAGCGGGACTGTTCCCCCCCCCACCACCCCACTCCAGCCAAGAGTGTCCCGCATGTCATGTTTGTGTGTGTGTGTTAGCTCAGTCGTGGCCAACTCTTTGCAACCCCAAGGACGGTAGCCCTCCGGGCTTCTCTGTCCATGGAATTCTCCAGGCAAGAATATTGGAGTGGGTTGCTATTCCCTTCTTCTAGTTCCTTAATCATTGCTCAGGTGATTGTGAGCATTTTTATAATGGAGAATTTGGTTTGTGTTTAAGAAATATAATGGTATAAATCATTTTATATGTACTTAGATATACTTGAATGAAAAGATTCAAAAGAAAAATTGATATAATATTTTTCCAGGCTATTTTTAATGTCTATCAAAATTATCAATTTGTGTACCCACTGACCCAGCAATTCTACTTCTATAGCTTATAGAAATGATACATCCACACTTGTACACAGAGATGTATGAGAATGTTTCTCTCTCATGTAGGTTGTAAATTCATTTTACAAATGTCTCATTTTCTGCTCTCCACCCCAGAACAGTGTCTGGCATACCATAGGCATCACTATAAATTTTAGGAAAGAATGAAGAGTAAAAGCTGGAAAAATCTTAAGTCCCATGACTGGATAATTATGGTACCTCCATCTAGTGGGATTCTCTACCACCATTAAGGAATGAGATCCAAGCGTGTAGATACTGAGTCATCTCTAAGGTATAGTGTTAACAGACAGCAAGGTGTAGGGTAGGGCAAATTGTATGCTACTGTTTGTTTAAAAAGAAACTATATAAACATATGCATGCGTTATCAAATGAAATGGAGGAAAACACCTTTTCTAGCGAAGAAAAGCAAAAGGACAAAAAAGGCTGGGGTCTCCCAGCAGGGACTGCTCTTCCTCTGGGTGATGCTCCTCTGATCTTCATCATTTCCTGCCCCTCCCCAGTGCTGCTGAACACGCTTCACTCCACCCTCACACCCCTGGGCATTGTGGGGGCTTCAGCATAGACCTGGGGACCTATTTGGACATGTGCTGGGCTGCACCCTGCAGGTCTGCGAGCCTTGGAGCTGCCCAACCATGAGATGGAAGGAAGAGCCTGAATACAGAGAGCAAGACATCAGGGTTTATCAGCAGAGCTTACAAGTCTGAAGCCAAAGGCCCTGGTGAGACAACCCCTACCCCGTAGGCAGACAGGACACGGCCGCAGTCTTTGCTATGGGGAAGAGGAAAAAAAGAGGTTGATGCTTACATGGGGAGTTAACATCAAGTTGGCTCATCAGTTACCAGGGACACCAGCAGCTGGGACGGGGGGCAAGCATGCGGGCAGTTCTTGGTTGGGCCTTATGATTAAGGGGACCAGATAGTGATGTGAGAGAAGCAGGTCCTGGCCGAGCAGGGGACGGATGGAGAGCAGGAGAGCAGCCATCTTGAACGGCCTGACCGCACAGACAGTGAATCAATCGTGAGGAGCTGCTGATGGGGTCTTGGAGAGGAGCTCCTGAGCTCTTCTAAGACACCATGTTCTTCCCTCTCTTGCTGTGACTTTGAGAGGAAGCCATGGCCCCAGAAGCTGTTGGCACCATCTTGCCATCCTCAGGAGAGTGGGTGTCGGGATGAAGGCAGAGAGGAGACAGAGAAAGAAGCCAGGTCCTTGAGACATTACTGACCTGCTGGCTCATGATCTTCCTGAAGCCTGCCCTATCCAGACCTTTCAGTTACAGGAACCAGTGAGTCAACTTTATTGTTTAACCCAACTGAAGCATGATTTTGCTGTCCCAGTTGAAAAATTCCCAATGGACTGCTGAGGCAGGTACTACTGGCAGGAACCAAGGAGCTCTAAGGCTGCCCCGTGGGGTTCTGCTCATGCCAGGCCAGGGAACACCCCAGCTCCCTCCGACCTGAGAAGACAGTATTGGCAGATTCCACCAACACTGGGCTAAACCAGGTGGTGAAGGGAGACGCCCCCCCCCCCCCCCCCCCAACAACTCCCTATGTCTCCAGCCATGGGGGCCGGGAGGAGAAGTTTCTGCTCCCAGGCTGGACAGCAGTCAGCTGCACTGCCTCAGGCGCTTCTCTAAGAAGAGCGGGCTCAGGAGGAGTGGGAGGGAGGAAAGACCCTGGGGAAGAGAAGGAACCCCTGAGATGAGACTGGAATCCAGGCCGTGGCTTGAGTAGGACCCACGGGAGCACTGCTGGGGCGGGTGGAGTATCTCGAGTATCTGTAATGACAATGTTTCTTCCCCGTGGAGGCTTGGGGAGCAAAGTTGAGTAAAGGTGAAAACCCCCAGTTTATACACGAGTGACCCGCCTGCCAATGCAGGAGATGTAAACACACAGGTTGGATCCCTGAGTTGGGAAGATCCCCTGGAGTAGGAAATGGCAACCCACTCCAGTATTCTTGCCTAGGAAATCCCATGGACTGAGGAGCCTGGCAGGTTATGGGGAGCTATGGGGTTGCAAAGAATTGCACACGACTGAAGCGACTTAGCAGACACACACACATGAGGTAAAACCCCAACTGCTCCTTTCTGGATCCTGACATTCGCCCAGGCCGTCTCTAGAAGGACAGTCAGAAGCTGCTAACAGTGGAAGGGAGCTGGGGGAAGAGGGGCTTATTCAAACTGTACGTCTTTGGTTGTTTCTATTCCATTTGCAGACAGCACAGAGGCTCCGAGCTCAGACTTGGCGCTAGGCTGCCCGCTGTGAGGAACAGGTGCACGAGTGTGAGCTGAGGCTGGTGGTTTCAGCCCCGCCGCGGGCCTTGGGGGTACCACCTCCCTCACAGGGTTGTCCGTGAGGCTCCTGGGCACTGATATCTACACACACGTGAGGCACTTCACAGTAACGGCCAGGATTGTGATTATTATTTACTTTAAAAATTGAGGTGTAATCTTGAAACTAATGCAATCAGCTGAGAAATTTTTGGTTGTTTCTATTCCATTTGCAGACAGCACAGAGGCTCCGAGCTCAGACTTGGCGCTAGGCTGCCCGCTGTGAGGAGCAGGTGCACGAGTGTGAGCTGAGGCTGGTGGTTTCAGCCCCGCCGCAGGCCTTGGGGGTACCACCTCCCTCACAGGGTTGTCCGTGAGGCTCCTGGGCACTGATATCTACACACATGTGAGGCACTTCACAGTAACGGCCAGGATTGTGATTATTATTTACTTTAAAAATTGAGGTGTAATCTTGAAACTAATGCAATCAGCTGAGAAATTTTCACAAATGATGTAGAGAGACAGCTGGGTCTAAAAACTGCTGGGTCATTAAATAAAATCTTAGCTATTACTTTTAGCCTTCTTATTCTTATCTTTTATTGGAGCTACTGGCAAGTCAGGAATTGAGTCTACATTCTTTTTTTCTTCTTCTCCCTGGTATCAGTGAATGCTGGTGGAATTGGAAGGAGATGCATAATCAATCCTTGACTACCGAAAGCTGCTTCATCATAGTTCAATTCAGGTGTGACCGAGATGCTGCTTATCTGCAGCCCTGAAACTAGGAATGCTTAAAATTCAGCTCACCTGGTTCTTTGGGTTCACATCTTGTATGCTCCAGGTGACCTCTTCACTTCTGTTTGGGTTCACCCTGCAAACCTCCACATTTTCCATGCTGTGTTGGCGGTCCACCGTGTCTCTCCTGAGACCCCTGGAGGGAGATGCTTTGCTGGTGGTGGAAAGAACAGAGGCCTGGGTCACTCCATCTGCTGTCCTAGACTTGTGGCTTCCTCATTTCTCCCTTGAGGGTGCCAGGGACTCGGGGGGGACTCACCATGTCCTATACAGGGGCTCATAAGCTACCTGAGGTATGCTGGCTGCAGTGAGTCCCCAAAGAGGGCACTTTGCTTTGGGAACAAGAGCAGGGTTGGAGCTTTCCATGTTGTGCCCACACCCCACCAGGCTCAAGGACAAGGCAGAGGCTACAGTGCCCATGACCCTAGACACAGGTCTAGGCTGCGGTGGGACAGCTAATAGTTGTTTTCTGAATCTCTGAGGATAAGGAGAGAGCATTTCCAGCCTGAATCCAGTGAGGCTGAGTTCTTTGAGATACACAACTGGAGACTAGTTTTCTTCGAAAAGAGATGTGATAGGAAACAAAGGGCTTGCATTTATTCCTGTTACTAAAGGAAAGATTTCCCATGACATAGTTTAGGTAAAGACTGATGTGGATGTTTGGAAGCCTTGAAATCCAAATGAATAACCGACACTATCCAATAGACTTTTCTGATGAAAATGTTCTATGTTTACACAGTCCAGTATGGTAGCCACAAGCTACAGGTGACTATTTAGTGTTTGAAATGGGGTTAGTGTAGTTGAAGAACTGAATTTAAAGCATATTTAATTTTGATTGATTTAAATATGCATAGCCACTAGTGGCTGGTGATGATCACTTTAGACACATAGTTATAGACAACTGACTTTCACTACAGTAATGATTTGGGGAAAGAAAGTAGCATTTTTGAGAGTTGTATTTCAAACACAATGGTGGATGGTTTCTGTAACAGAATTATCTCATTTAATCCCTACTATTTAGAGGGATAAACTGGGGGCCAGAGAGAGGTGACTGGCCCAATGTGGCATCCTTAGAGGGGTCAAGGGAAGGGTCCAGCCCTGGGTCTGGCCCATTCTTTCTCCAAGCACCATCCTGTATGCTGTGTAACCAGAGAGATTCAAGATGGACTGGAGGGGGTTATCTTACAGCAACAAATCTAATTAACACCAGAAAACACAACTTTGTGGTTAGGGAAGCTGGGATTATCTTAAGAGAAGAATACTGAAAGAACCAATCAGTCTTTAGTATTAAATTAAAACATTTAGTTTTTGGAGGAGAATGGCAGGCTGCCCCTCTCACCACTACTGAAAGTGGCACTTAATTCTGGCTATAGGGAGCACATAGGAGAAGGTTTTAAAGCCTTACCTCTGTCACGGGGGCACTTCTTTCCACATCTCAGTGAGCCTGAGTGGACTTCAGGTCCCCATGGGCCAACTCTGGTCTAGGAGGAACTCAAGCCTTGGGGCACTGTGAGTAGCATTTAGACTAACCAGAAACTGGTGGCTTCTGAAGCAAAAGCCTGTATTCAGATTATCTGTAGATCTCAAAACTGATGTTAGCAAAAGCACACAGCGTGGACAGCCTCTTTGCTGGACCACTCTTGATACGGAGTTATTGCCAAGCTTCAGCAGATGAATAGAATTGTGAGGAAACTCTCTGCTGTGGGCAGGAAACAATTCCTTAAAAATCCACCATGAAACTGCCCACTCACCTGTGGGCAGGAAACAATTCCTTAAAAATCCACCATGAAACTAAAAGTAATTTAGATTGTATAGCTTTGAGAAAAAAACTTCTCTTGCAAAGATTTGACAAGAGAGTTTGACATGTAACTGACAAAAGATGGATTTTTTTTTAAATGAAATGAACATGGTCAGTACTACATGTATTGGATATTGCAGTTTTCCAAAGTAAGCCATCATTTTTGGCATGTCACTCAAGAAAAGAGCATCATCGTAGACCAATTATACGTATTCTGGTGAACTTGGCATGGCATTTTGTTTTTCCATCACTCACTTAAAACAGGATGTCGGCCATTCTGAGAATGAATTAAAATTCTATTTTGGTGATCTGTAAACTTTGATGTGAGATAAATTATGAATTGTGACTGCTTTGATGTTCCAAGCAAAAAATATATAAAGCTTGAAATTGTAAAGTTTACATGATGCTGTATTCATTACAGAGTGAAATAAAGGATTTAGAAGTTGGTTTTTTTTTTCCTGGTAGCAATACTTGGAATTTTATGTTTTTCCAAGAAAAATCCCCAGCCATTGTTAATATTTGTATACCATAACTTCCTGGAGCAAGTGACCTATGAAACTCTGTTTATGGCACCACTGTTCACCAATCAAACTTGCACAGAATATGTTATCAGGGAAATCAACTCTGCATACCATGGAGGAGGAAGGCCTCTGCCCACCCACGGCAGTCTAGATAACAGGAAAGTGTGTTAGAAATCCTATGTTCTGCTTTTCTTTCCTTCCTTACCATTCTTTCCATGGGTTCATTACAGGGCGTGAGTCTAACAGAACAAAGCGCTGAGAAGTAAATCACCTTGTAATAGTGTAATAGAGTAATACGTAGAGGACAGTCTCCTAGACCATCTGTATACATACAGAGGTTGGTGTTCTTTGGAATGTATGAAGCAGTTTGTGGATCTTCAAGGCAGGAAACCACTCAAGACAGGCTGGATCTGTGGTGGGTTTAGAAGAGTCGGCAGGTTGGGAGAACATCAAGGGGCAGGCTGTCCAGGCAGAAGGGGAGGCCTGAGCCAGCAAACGAGGGGCAGCAGTAGGGCCCCCGGGGGTAACGCAAACAGCTGGAAGACCTGGTGGCCTGGAAATGGGGTTTGTTCTTGGAGGCTCCTCACAACTTCTGTACACCGAGGCTGAAAAAAGCATACAAGTTGGATCGTATGGATATTTGTTTTGGAAACAGATGTTCTTCAGAAATGGTTTTCATTGGTAAGAGAACTTTGACCAGGTTTTAGGATGAGGAGGTCCTGTTGCTGGCTAGCATGAGATTCTTATTTTTTCATTCTTACAGGACTAGTAAGTACAGTCTAGGGCACAGGGCTCTGGTCTGAGAGGGAGGGGGAAGGAGGTCTAGTCCCAGCTCCACCACCCAGACTGACTTCAGTCTCTTCTGTGTAAAACGCCTGGTGTGGGACGAGGGAGATGACAGGCAGAGGGAACTGCCGGTTTGGAACACAGGAGGCTGTACTCTGGCTCTGCCCCCTCAGTGTGGGGAGACTTGCCAACTGTCTCTTCCTGGGGCTAACCTCAGAGACATCTCCCCACCTTCTACAAGAAGCTCAGCGCCCTCTTACTAGCATGCATATTTTAGGTATTAAAAAATCCAAAAGTCCCCCAAATCAATGATTTGATGGCTATTCCTATCATCTGAACTAAACAAAACAATTGCATGTTTGGAATTTGGTGAGATGACTCAGATTTAAAATGGTCAGTAAGCTGATGTAGAAGTCGGGAGAGGCTAGGATACACTGTAATAATGAATATGCTGTAATCTCAGGGCTTAAAATAGCAAAGGTTTATTTATTGTTCCCACTATATAAGTCCATTACTGATTAGCTGGGAGCCTGGCCCATATCACTGGTTTCAGGAGTGGGCTGCTATATCTGCTTCATCAGGTGCCGGCTCCTTGATGGGGCTGAGGGGGAAAGAGAGCGAGAACAATTGTCCTCAGGCTCTTGAAGTTCCTGCTGGAAGTGACATTCACTTCTGCTCACCTTGTATGGGCCAAAGCACATCCCATGGCTGTGCCTACCTTCTTCAGAGGGTGGGAGGTACAATACCATTATGTTCCCCAGGAGGTGGGGAGCTCGAAGTGTTTGCATGCCTGCTTAGTCGCTCAGTCGTGTCTGACTCTTTGCAACCCCATGGACTGTAGCCCACCAGGCTCCTCTGTCCATGGGGATTCTCCAGGCAAGAATGCTGGAGTGGGTGGCCATGCCCTCCTCCAGGGGATCTTCCCAACCCAGGGATCAAACCCAGGTATCCTGCATTGCAGGTGGATCCTTTACCATCTGAGCCTCCAGGGAAGCCTGAAGTATTTGTAACAGCACAAATGCCTGCCACAACAGAAGTGCCAGGTGTGGCCCAACTTGATCACGAGTCTTTTGGTAACGTTATTGGTCTGCTATGCTGCCCTAACAAAGTGCCACAGGCTGGGTGATGAAACGGCAAAAAATTTTTTTCTCCCACTTCTGAAGGCTAGAAGTCTGAGATCAAGGTTTGGCAGCACTGGTTTCTTCTGATACCTCTCTTCTTGGTTTGTGGATGACTGTCCTCACGTGATCTTCCGTCTGTGCATGTGTGTGTCCTAATCTCCTCTCTTATAAGGACACCAGTCATATAGTCTCAATGACTTCATTTTACCTTATTACCTCTTTAAAGTCTGGGAGTTAGGACTTAAACAAATGAATTTATTGGGGAGAGCTCAGTTCACCCCATAACAAATACATAAAAACTGGGGCCTATCTCATGCATTGGGACTATGACAATACTAGGAGCATGCAAAACTTTTCTTTATTCTTGGCTGTGCTGGGTCTTCAGTGCTGCGAGCGGAGGCCGCTGTCTGTCGCAGCGCGGGGCTTCTCGCTGCGGGGGCTTCTCTTGTTGCAGAGCGCGGGTTCGGACTTCAGTAGTTGTGGCACGGGGCTCAGTACTTTGGGTTTGGGGGCTTCAGAGTGCTAAGGACACCAGTCATATAGTCTCAATGACTTCATTTTACCTTATTACCTCTTTAAAGTCTGGGAGTTAGGACTTAAACAAATGAATTTATTGGGGGGAGCACAGTTCACCCCATAACAAATACATAAAAACTGGGGCCTATCTCATGCATTGGGACTATGACAATACTAGGAGCATGCAAAACTTTTCTTTGTTCTTGGCTGTGCTGGGTCTTCAGTGCTGCGAGCGGAGGCCGCTGTCTGTCGCAGCGCGGGGCTTCTCACTGCAGGGGCTTCTCTTGTTGCAGAGCGCGGGTTCTGGCGCACACGGACTTCAGTAGTTGTGGCACGGGGCTCAGTACTTTGGGTTTGGGGGCTTCAGAGTGCAGACTCAGCAGCCCTGGGGCACAGGCTTAGTGGCTGGGCGGCATGTGTCATCTTCCCGGAACAGGGATCGAACCCCTGCCTCCTGCATTGGCAGGCGGATTCTTTACCACTGAGCCACCAGGGAAGCAAAGCTTTTTGATACATCTTATCCCTACACTTGGTGCTGAAACCCTAATGAAATAAATTTCTGCAAACAAGTCATTACCTGCTATGGCCCTTAAGACAGATGCTGTGATTAGGATTTAAAAGTTTAAAGAAGTGTAAATTAAATGACAGGCCTATAGAGAAGGCTTTCCTAATTCATCTCATAGCCTATATTTTTTCTGAACTTAGATTGTGCAGAGTCCAGAAGACTGATTAAATTTTTTAAAATGTCGATACCTTTTTTTTTTAATGAACCTTTATTATTTTGGGGGGCTGTGCTGGGTCTTTGTTGCCGCCCGTGGGTTATTCTCTAGTTGCGGTGTGCAGGCTGCTGCTTGCAGTGGCTTCTCTCGTTGCAGAGCAGGGACTCTAGGCACGCAGGCTTCAGCGGTCGTGGTGCTCGGGCTTAGCTGCTTCGCAGACCCATAGATGTCAGGCGAGTGTATGCTCCTCGGTTCTTTGTCTCGTCACAACAGAAATTTGGAGTGACGGACATTGAAGCCCCCTCGGCGGGTCACAGCTCTTGGGTCTTGGACAGACTGTGTTATAGCTCTCAGGTCTCAAATGGACCGTGTTATCGCTTTTAAATAAATCAGTGTTACAGCTCAGTGTTACAGCTCTATTTTATTTAGATAATAGCAGGAAAATCCATCTTCGTTCGAGGTGTGGGGGCACGTCGATCCAAAGACGCGAAGAGAAGATCGCCCCATCGCGTGGGGGAGAGAGAGAGAGAGAGAGCTTTGGCTCCTCTTTTTATATGTTTCTCTGTCTCTGGGCCTGTCTTATGTAAATTGGGCCAGCCGGGAGTGTTGTTTGTTTTACCTGAGGTTCTTATTCCGGTCCTCAGACCTTCCTTTGTTCTGTTTTCACGGGCTCTCCCTTCCAGGTCTTTTAGCCACTGCCATTCTGGACTCTCTTTCCCTATTCTAACTACCTAACATTAGCATGTGGGATCTTCCTGGACCAGGGATTGAACCTGTGTTCTCTGCATTGGCAGGCGGATTCTTTACCACGGGACTACCAGGGAAGTCCTGATTTAATTTTTTTTTACTGTAATTCTCTTGTGATAGCTATACGGTAGAAAATCACAGACCAGTTAACTGTTTTTGAATATTTCCCTGCTATTAGCCATTGATCCAGGCTCGTGATTCTCAAACTTGCCCATAGAGCAGAATCCCAGGAGGTCTGGGATGGGCCTGAGGGTTTGCATTTCTAACAAGTGCCCAGGTGGTGCTGTTCCAGGTCCGGGAACTAGACTTCTAGGAAGGCTGGTGCAGAAATCTGCAGCTGGGATGGAGGACACCATCTTCACATGCTTCCTCATCTGGGTGCCTGTGCGGTTCGTGCAGGTACCCACACTGGCACCTCCCAGGCATGAGCAGGCAAGCGAGTCAGAATTGTGAATCCTCTGACCAGGACAAGCTCTTCTGTATTCTTAGTCTCTGTATAAACCATGTACTGTTATTACTCACTCTGCACCAGGCCTGCCTCCTCTTGGCTCACTTTTCAGTCACTTTATTTTTGTTTTTAGAACAGAGGGTTCTAGTAGAACATTCTTTTTAACAGTTATGCCAATTCCACCAGTTTTGAGGGGAAAAAAAAAAAAAGACTTACCCAAACCTTTTTCCATTTCCAACGGGTGCTATTTTCATAAACAAGATTCCCTGGGCCCAGGGTTAACTGTGATCAGTTCTGCTTTGGGTACCTGTGTTCTCTGCATTGGCAGGCGGATTCTTTACC